GGGGTGGGCACTGAAGACCCCAACCGAGTTCTGCTGTGGCTTATTTATTTCTACATTTAAAACATGAATGGTGCAGGGAGTCCTCCGCTTACGACCACAACGGAGCCCAACATTTCCGTGGCTAAGCAAGGCGGTTGTGAAGTGGGTTTTGCCCCATTTTACGACCTCCGTTGCCACAGCTGTTAAGCGAATCGCTGCTGCTGCTGTTAAGCGAGTCACACGGCTGTTAAGCGAATCTGGTTCCCCCACGCTGACTTTGCTGGTCAGAAAGCCGCGAAAGGGGATCGCGCGCCTGCAACCGTCGTAAATACGAGGCAGCTGTCGACCGGATTTTAATCGCACGGCCCCGGGGACGCTGCGATGGTCTTAAGTGTGGGAAAAAAACCCAGTCACGTCACTTTTTCCAGTGCCCTCGTAACTTTGAACGGTCACTAAGGGAACGGCTGTAAGCCGAGGACTGCCTGCAATACAGCTGCCCCTGGCATCTCCAACCCTTGGCAGGGGCCGGGCCACGCCTGAAGGGAGTAGAACCGGTGGGGAGGAGCTGCCAGCCCGTCTGACCGAAGGGAAGGAAGCGAAGGGCCCAGATGGCCTTCACCTGAAGCTTTTAAGAGACTCCCCATCCTCTTGACAAAAATAAACTCCTTTTTAAGGCCAAGACATCTGTTCCAGAGGACTGGAAAATACCAGCGTAACTTCAATTTTAAGAAAGGGAGGGGAGGAAGGAGGGAGGGTTATGTCAGCTCCATCAGCTTGACACCCCAACTGAGAAGAAGGCCAGGGAACCACAATCCAAGATGGAGACTGGTGCGCTGTGCTGTGGAAATGGGGGTGGGGGCTTCCCTGAAGAGATGCTCCCCCCACTCTGGTCCTTTCGAGGGGTCAAGAGGGACCCCTCCAGCCAGCCACAGGTGCTCGGACCGTCAAACCCTCCCGGTGACAGCCGGGCCGGAGGCAGGAAGCAGAGGAAGGGGGCAGCCCGGGGGGGGGGGCTCTCCAAAGCGGAGGCCCCTCGGTTTGGGACCTGGCCTTCGAAGCCGAGACTGACCGGGGTGAGAGGGCCAAGCTTGCTCAGGACCCCAACCTGTCGGAGGGACTAAACCGAAAAGGGAATCTCTGCCCAGGATTCGGCAAACAGCCCCCAAAGCAGCCAGTGGGGCCCAGGGTGAGAAACCCCCATGTCCAGCCCCACACGAAAGGGGGGGGTCCGGACAGGCAGCGACGGGGTCTTGGAATCGGGGTGGATCCCTTTTCCAGGAACTGCGCTGGTTTTGAAAAAAAAGCAAGGGCCCTTTGAGAGTGATAAGGAAGTTGCCGCTGCTGCTGCTGCGGCGGCAGTTGTGTGTTTATGTTTTATTTCTGGGGAAACCAAGTTTAGAACTGGGTGGATTTGAAGGAGGAGGTTGTGGTGCTGCAAATGGTGCAGAAAGGGGCAATCCAGAGGATGGGGGGGGGGCTCAAGCAGAGGAGACGGGGGCAAAGGGGTGCCGGGAGACGTATCTGCTCCTTTCCTCCCCAGCTCTTCCTTTTAGTTATAATCTGTATTTTCACCGTGATTTTATTGTGATTTTATACACTGGTATACTGTATATAGTTATGACTTTATTTTTGATGTTGTAAGTTGCCCAGAATCGCCTTTCAGTGAAATGGGGGGGGGGGTGCAAGCAAATTTAATAAACAATAAGAATAAAGTCACTCGATTGCAAAAGGCAGCTTTACGTGAAACGGCTGACCTCCTCCGAAGAGACCTCTGACCCCATCCAGCCAGCCCATCTGCCCATCCCGGGGTCCTTGGGAAGGGCTCGGGAGGTGGACAGAAAGGCCAAAGCCAGCCTGAACATCTGGCTGACTGTGCAGTGAACCGAAATAAAAAAATAAACAAAACCAGGCAGAAGAGGGAGAAGGTGGGAAGGACTCTTCGGGGCTGAATGGGGGAGCCCCAGGACTGGGGGAAGGAAGGACCCATTGATGCAGCGCATGGCAAAAGCGGCCCCAAAAAAGTTTCAGAGAGAGAGAGAGAGAAAGGAGGGAGGGAGAGGGAGAAGAGAGGAGAGGAGAGAGGGAGGAAGGAGAGAGGGAGGAGGAAAGAGGGGAGAGAGGGAGGACAGAGAGAGAGAGAGGGAAGAGAGAGGACAGAGGGAGGGAAGAGAGAGAGGAGAGAGGGAGGAGAGACAGAGAGGGAGGAGAGAGAGGAGAGAGGAGAGAGAGAGGAGAGAGGGGAGAGGGAGGAGAGAGAGAGGGGGAAGAGAGAGAGGGAAGAGAGAGGACAGAGGGGAAAGGGAGGAGGGAGGGAGAGGAGAGAGGAGCGAGAGAGAGGGGAGGGAGGGAGGAGAGGGAAGAGAGAGGAAAGAGAGAGGGAAGAGAGAGAGGAGAGAGGGAGGAGAGAGGGAAAAGAGAGAGGGAGGAGAGACAGAGAGGGAGTAGAGAGAGGAGAGAGGGAGGAGAGAGAGGAGAGAGGGGAGGGGAGGAGAGAGAGGGGGGAAGAGAGAGAGGAAAGAGAGAGGAGAGAAGGGAAAGGGAGGAGAGAGGGAGGGAGAGGAGAGAGGAGCGAGAGAGAGGGGAGAGAGGGAGGAGAGGGAGGGAGGAGAGGAAGGAGAGAGAGAAGAGAGAGGGGAGAGAGGGAGGAGAGGGAAGAGAGAGGGAAAGAGAGAGGAGAGAGGGAAGAGAGACAAAAGGGGCGGGCAATGGGGAATCTAGGGGGCCCTGAGGCGCTGAAGGGCGGTAGGCTCAGGAACAGCCCAGGCCCAGCACTGAGCAGAAGGGGGCCGCCAGCAGTCCCCACCGTGCCCATAAATCCACTTGGAGGGGAGAAAGTGGGGCACTTGCCGTCTCCCTGGCTTGGGACCCACAAGCAGGGGGGGGGGCACGCTGCTGAGAGAGAGCCAGAGGGGGCTCAGGAGAGTCCTGACACTTTAAGACCTGTGGACTTCAACTCCCAGAATTCCTTTGCTGGCTGGGGAATTCTGGGAGTTGAAGTCCACAGGTCTTCAAGTTCACAAGGTTGGACACCCCTGGCCTAGGGCCTCCCGCTTGAGCAGGGGGTCGGACTAGAAGACCTCCAAGGTCCCTCCCGGCTCCGTCCTACAAGAGGGGTTTTGCTCTGAGCCGGCTCCCCCAGGCAGAGTGCCCAGCCAGCTTGAGGAGCAGAGCCCGCCCCCTCCCTCTATCTCCCCCCAGACCCCCCCCGCAGCGGAGGAGGAGGAGGAGGAGGAGGAGGAGGCCGGTCATTCGCATCCCACCCTGTGCCCTCCGTTCCGTTCCAAACGCCAGCCCAGCTGCTCCGGGGACTGGATTCCAGAAGGGCTGGTAATGGAGGCGAAACAAAACAAACATCCTGCAGCCTTACCCAATCTTGGTAAACAGCTTCCCATGAGCCTGGAGAAAACGCAGGACGAACCTTTTGTTCAGCTGGATGGGAAAAGAGAGAGAGAGAGAGAGAGAGAAAAGGGGGGGGGACACGATGAAGAAGATGAGAAAACAATCCAGGCCCCCTCCCTCCCTCCCTCTTCCTGCGAAGAACGCCCAGCAGCCTCCCAGAGTGGCCGGAGAACCTGGCCAGGGCCGAGGGGGGGGGGTGGCTACGGCAGATGGGAACCCAGCGGCCGTGCCTGGCCTCCAGCCCCCCCCCCCCGGGCCTTCGG